GGCACTGTAGAGGTTCAGGTTCCCAGCATTTCACAGGAGTTAAGACACTCCAGCCTTTGGCAACCTGCCACTCTCTCCACTTGGTAGACAGGTTCGTGAAATTTGATACTTTTATGTCTTTCCTTGAAAAGCTTGCAAGGTTCAGCAGTCCTTCAGTGGCTGGCCCATTTCTGTTAAACTCCTGTTGGTGGACCCAAGTGTGAGGTTATCCTGGACCTGTTGTCAGAATAGAGTCAATGCATTTCATTGGCTTTTTAAAAAAACTACCAGCTTAGTCTTTGAGTAACAATTTATGCTTTGGACACAAAAATGGGACCCTGCTCTTTGTGTTTATTATGCTGCCACCAACTCCCCTTAAAATGTGAGCCAACTTCCCCAAGCATTTATCGTATCAGCAGGGCAGAGTAAAGTAGGATCTGGACAATTATTCCTTTAGTTGACGCATGGTAGCAGAGCCTTCGTGAGTGTGTCTACCGAAAATATACAGTACTTCCCAGGGAGGTAGAAGGCATGGTTTGTGAGTAGGATTCTTGCCATCCTTTGCTTTTAGCTGATCTCCTTTGGTATTCACTGCCGTGCTTCAAGTCTTTGGGGCCCATCCTTTGCCCCCGTCCTTGATGAATAAGTATAATGATGGAAAAGCATCATGTCTTCGTTGTTGCATGTTGCCTAGCTGGAAATACCCTGGACTTGGGAGTCAGAAGTCCTAGGTTGGAGCCCAGATTCTAGGATTTACTATTTGTGTGATTCAGCTTAAGTTGTTCAAATTCCTAGTCTGTAAAATGGGAATAATAAATGATGTCTGCCCCCACTCCCACTGCAGCTACCTTCTATGCATAGTGTGGATCAAATGAGCAAATGAATTGGAAAGTGTCATGTAACTTATGCAGTGCTTTGCCATGGGGACTCCCATGCTCGCCGAGGGTGGGTGTAGTGAACTATCTCAGGGCTCGTGGAAGGACTCTTTCTGTTAGAGGACAGTTATCCAGACGGTCTGCTTCTGTGATCATGAGCAGCTGCCTCTTAACCTGCCCCAGAGGCAACCTGGACCACTGTGGAGTCACTGTTTATTCTGACATTCTTTCTTTAGTTAAGCCGAAATTTATCCTTATAACTTCCAAGATAATTTACACTTCTTGGTTCTAGTTTTACAGAGTAACATGAAGCAATTCAAATCAGTACATTTCAAGTCGTAGAAATTTATAGCCGAGAAAGGAGTCTTACAACTCAGCTTCCTGTTTTTGGCAATTCAATTCAACACAGAAGAGCTGGTGCCCGTCACGTGGGTGCTGTGCTCAGGCACTAAAGGCAGCTGTTGTTTCTCCTCCGGATCTCGAGAAGTGGAACAGAAGGGCATTCGATCCAAACGGAGATGAATGGGAAATAAAAACTTTTTAACTCCTTAATGTGCAAATATATGGTGCTTTTAATTTATTTAGAATACTTGCTAGAATAAATAGTGCCTGCATTTATTGGGCTATAAATGATTTAAATGGCCAGGCAGACTACTAATCTACAAAAGACGGAAGAATGATAAATATTAAAGACAAATATTTTTAATTTTTATAAGCTTCCTTGTGTTTAACAACTAGTAAGTGAAAAACATAATTGCACATAGAGAAATGGAAAAATGGTGAAATCGCAGCCCCTGGGAGGACCCTGAAGGGTCTTCTCAGAGATTAAAGGCAGAACACATCTCTTCATTGAGTTACATATCAATTAACAATTTAAAACAAAGCAAGCAGATAAAAAGGCAGCACCAGCCTTGCCTCAGATGCCCTGGGTTCTCTTCTTGACCCAGTTGCTGACTAGTAGTGTGACTTACTTTTTAGAATTTGTTTCCCTCAAATTTCAAATGAGGCTAAAATTTTTTCCCTGCTTGTGTTGTGTAGTTGTTAGGATTCAATGTGATACATGTGTATGGATTCAGATCTTTACTTCTTGCAAGCCGTGTGACTTTCAGAAAGTTTAAACTCTGTGCCTGCTTCTTCATCTTTAAAACAGGAGAATCCTAGTACCTACTTCAGGGTTTTTGTGAGAAGTAAATGAGTTAATTCCCATGAAGTTCATAGAACAGTGCCTGACAGTTAATGCCTAATACAATGACTAATTTTTTTGAATTTTTGTGGGCTCTATGACTTGGTATATTTTTAGTCTACAGTATTTTTTTGAAATAGCATTTTTTTTTTTTTTTTTTTTTTTTTTGTGAGGGAGATCA